ACTCCTAATATTTACACGCAGTCCTAGTGTTGATAACTCTTTTTGTATCATCATGCTGCTTGTTTCATTATGCTGCAAACTGTCGTGTATCCTAATGCTACAAACTATCTTGTATCATCAGGCTACAAGCTATCAGCTCCGGATCGCTCTTGGAATGGGATACAGTCATACCTCGGGTTACAGCCGCTTCAGGTTGCATTTCTTCGGGTTGTGGAACGCCGAAACCTGGAAGTACTGGAACAGGTTACTTCCGGGTTTCAGTGGTCGCGCATGCTCAGAAGCACTAAATCGTGCTTTGTGCATGCACAGAAGCACCGAATTGCAACCCGCAGACGCAGGTTGCGAACGCTGTGGGTTGCGAACGTGCATCCCGCACGGATCACGTTCGCAACCCGAGAGTCCACTGTATAAGCAATTTGTCAATGACAGAGAATGTATTTGGATATCTTGGTAATCCGAGTTGCTTGTGTCAGTTGTATGCAAGATATAAGAGGTATGACACACCTGAAGAGAGCACATGTGGAGATGTACATAATATCCCCGCCTCCCATAACCTTGTGAATCCTCTTACCCTTTTGCATGTATTAAGTGTGCTTTGGCAGCAGATGACCTTGTGTATCCATGGAGGGTTCCCAAACAAGTGGGAACCCATGATTCTGGGAGATGTAGAACAGGCATAGGCAAACTCGGCCCGCCAAATGTTTTGGGACTACAACTCCCATGATCCCTAGCTAACAGGACCAGTGGTCAGGGATGATGGGAATTGTAGTCCCAAAACATCTGGAGGGCCGAGTTTGCCTATGCCTGACGTAGAATGTGTCAGATAACATCCAAAGATGGCTCCTATGCAACACCCTTTATCGGATATGGGACGGGCAACTTTGGGAGGGGTTGCCTGCCAATAGAGAGTGGTTAAACAGCCATGTCAGTGTTTGTGCTGCTACACATAAATAAATAAAAACTATAGGACTGTGAATATTACTGAGGGTATTACAGAGTCAAATGTGCACACCTTGCTCTGTTTCTTGTCGTACCATTTCCAGAGATATGAATACATACAGCTTACGGATCTAGAATAACAGAATGTGCCCTAAATTATAACTATTTAAACTAAATTGTTTTTTTAAAAGAAAAAAGAAAAGAAAAGAAATTGAAATACCCCATTCCTTGATTTATACTTCTCCCTTTTTTCTTATGTATATGAAGAATGTTTTATTGTTTTTCCATTAAATCTTATCTTGACACTGAGCACAAGAAAGAAAGGGAAATGTTTGAAAAGCCACATTTTAAAACAGTGGTACAAGTCTGAAAGTTTGCTTTTTTAATGTTTCATGCATATAATACACCAAGGCTTCGCAAAGTCATTTGAGGTCTCCTCATAACGCATTTCAAGGGCTATAAAGCTATATATTTATATAATATATAGTGGAATCTCACCTTTCAGCACCGAGCCTTGGCTTCTTGCAATTTTAATCAGATTTTGGCCAACAAGTGCTTTGATGGCCTCCCCTCCCCATTCAGGTTTGTGTGTGTGTGTTTTCTTTCCATTCTATCACCCACTGCCAGAACTCAGCTTAGAAAACAGTCAGCATAAATGAGGTCTGCTTTTTGCGGCTCTGATTAAGCAAGACAAAATCAATTAGCATCGGAGACCTCACAGGATCCTAGAGGTGAACTGTTCAAATTAGCCAGCTCCAGAAAGTCAAATTAGGAGGCAATTAAAAGGAGCAGCTGTGATTTTGCTGACATAGTTTTGCTGCTGTGGTTGCCTCCTATGCTGAAAGACAGATTGATTAGAAAGGCTGCTGGGCTGTAAAGTCATTCTTTGTTGCCATCAGCTATGTGTGTATATGTGTGTTCATATATGTACTGTTTCTCTCTCTCTCTCTCTCTCTCTCTCTCTCTCTCTCTCTGTGTGTGTGTGTGTTTGTATTGTTACAAAAACTGGGTGCTACCCCCACCCTTTGCAAGATTCCAGGCACTCAGCCAGAGTCTGTGCTCCTTGGGAGAATTGAGACATAGCGAGACTGTCATAGCTTATAGAAATATGGTTTATTCAACCATTTACACCGTCAGAGTTCAGATCTCACAGCATGGTCATTTCCAGAGGGGCTCACCCCCACAGCACTGCAGCCTTGGGATCCAAGGTATCTCAGCCAGCCAGCCTTCAGCCAGCCTTCCCAAGATGGATCCCTGTCTTTTCTCTCCCCATCTTCTTCCCAGACCACCTTGCTGAAAAACTCTCTTTTCCTGCCATGTCAAACATATACTCCATCACTTTTGGCAATCCCCAGGCCAAAGGATTCTTTTCAGAAAGCCCATCAACCCCTTTTTGTCATGTTAACAGATTTGCTCTTTGCTAGGCTGGCCAGGCTGGTTTGCATAAGCCAGCCCAGGCATTCCTTGCCTGGCACAGTTCTGCAGTTTGTACTTTCATCCCTACCCCAATTAATAATAATCCTACCATTTATTGATTTCTAGGGTTTAGGAGGGTCCCTCGCAAATCCATACGTCTTCATCTGTAAACGAAGCTGATGTCTAAATAATTGTTTTCTGCTGTGTGGCATAGGTTTATATGAAAGGGATATATTGCACAAACCTCAGTATAGGAGTTGCTACTGTTATTCTAGCCTTAATTTCTACAACTCGGGACTATAAGTGATATCCAAACCAACCACATTTACTTATGGGAGTATAAGAGTAAGTCACATGCCACTTAAGGGACAGAACTGACATGCTACCTGCTCACAAAAACAAACAAAAAAGTACCCCCATGTAAACTGATCTATGGTTTTGAATACTTTTTCTAAAGCAAAGTGGTACATCAGCATATAGAGAGATACAAATTCAGCAGAGTGCTATCAGACAACATTTGGTGCCAAGCTGAACTTCTGCAAACAATGCAGAAATTGAATATTGTGGTTCTGTTCCATGGCAAGACACCAACTGAATTTAAGATGGCAACGATCTCACCCTGTTTCCCTTTATATATCCCAGCTCAATTGTCCTGTTTTCCCAAAGACATCTATTGTGCCTTATGCCAGCTAATTTGCAGTCAAATATGCTCTGTCATGCTCGGGACAGACGAAGGAAACGAAAACCAGCATGCTCCAGCCTTGATAATTTTCATTACTCATCTCCCAAGGCAACAGAGGGCTGTTGGGTTGGTGATGATGGGGTCATACTGCTTAGGGATGAGAAACACTCTCAGTAAACAGATCCCCACGCCTCCCTCCCCTAAAAATTTACCTCTCACAAATAACAAGTCACTGATTCCACCCAAGAGCAATTGGCTGAGTTGGTTGCTTGCTAACTCAGTTGTTCCCTTGACACAAATGCCCAACCACTTCTACACCAGTTCTTCTCTGGCAGCCAACTTCACTGAGAAGCTTACAGGTTATATTTATTGTTGGAGAGATGTGCACAAGCAAACAGAAACATACACAAACACTGGGTTACTTGCGTAAAAATCTGGACGCAGAAAGTTTTTTTTAAAGAAATAAATGGGGACTAAGCACCGGCATGTTGCCAAGTCAGTGGAGCTCAGCGGCGCGTTCCATTTGAGGTGTTGACAGTGCATAATAAATCCCGGCCCTACCTAACATTTACAGGAACATTATAAAATGAGTGAAACGGCGTGAGCTGGTTCCCTAGGCAACCAGACAAACATAATAAACAGTCAGCAGTGGCAAAAGTAACTTACACCGTGCTCAGTCGCAGGCCTGAAATATATCACTTAACCATAGCCCCTTCTCTGCTTTTGGAGCTCTTGAAAAAGCTTTGTATTATTGTTTCTTAATCATATGGGAGGAAGGAAGCTCAGCCAATTTTTTTTTAATAAATCATAATCTTATTTGACATTGTCTGAAGAGACCCCTGGCTTTATTGTTCTGACTTAGGCGAATAGTAAGAATTTAGCTTCATCATTGGCCTATCAGGCTTTTGCCATTAGGGGCATCAAAGTTGAAGGAATGTTGGTTAGACAGAAATTGTCATCATGTAAAGATCATGAACCTCATTCAGAAAGAGGACATCTGTGAGTGACTGACTCCTCTGAATAAGACACTTTCTTCACTCATGGTAAAGGTAAACAAGTAGAATGGCGACTCAAGTGATCCTGAAGGAGCGCCTCCACACCCATTGTTTGGCCAGGACACTGAGGTCCACCTCCGAAGAGCTTATGGTGGTTCCCTAACAGAGAGAAGTGAAGTTACAGGGAAACAGGCAGAGGCCCTTTTTGGTAGTGGCGCCTGCCCTGTGGAATGCTCTCCTATTAGATGTCAAGGAAATAAACAACTATCTGACTTTTAGAAGACATCTGAAGGCAGCCCTGTTTAGGGAAGGTTTTTAAAAAAAATTCTGATGTTATATTATGTTTTTATATGTGTTGGAAGCTACATAGAGTGGTTAGGGCAACTCAGCCAGACGAGCAGGGTACAAGTAATATAATAATAATAATAATAATAATAATAATAATAATAATGGCTAGGCAAGGCTATGAAAGCTTTGAAGGCAGTTATGGCAAATGGCTGTTGTTAATGCCTCCACATTAAACAATTTTCTACAATATTAAGGAATCAATGTCAGGGCGAAATAAAGGAACCTAAGGACAACAACCTAAGAATCCAGCTAACTCAGTTGAAATGTTTACCTCATGGGTAGCCAATGTGGTGCCCTTCAGATGTTTTGGGCTCCAATTCCCAGCATCCCTGACCACTGGCCTTGCTGAGTATGGCTGATAAATAGTTGTAGTCTGAAACATCTGGAAGGCACCTTGTTGGCTACCCCTGATGTATCTCATCCATGACAGAGAGTCCAGCTGCACTTTTAGTTTTCTCCCTTTCCTATTACAAAATGTCTCAAGAAGCTTAGGCAATAGGATGCTCTATATTTTCTCTGGGTAATTGGATTACTATTTGGGGGGAGGAGTATTCTGATGGGACAATCATATTGTGATGTCATAGTGTGAGAGAGGCCAATTGTTTTCTGGTCTTGATTGAGCCATTGGAAGCATAGTGCTCCCCGGCTCCTACTTCCATGTTTATTTTTATTTATTTATTTTTTTTGCTGCTTTCAAGACCAGGCCAGGCCATCTATAATTGTTATTTGTAAGCCGTCTTGATTTAGGGAAGGAGGTAAGACATCTTTATTTTCCCTTTTTTATTTTCATGTATTATTTTATACGCTGATAAAAGGTAAAGGGACCCCTGACCATTAGGTCCAGTTGTGACCGACTCTGAGGTTGCAGTGCTCATCTCGCTTTACTGGCTGAGGGAGCTGGCGTTTGTCCGCAGACAGCTTCCGGGTCATATGGCCAGCATGACTAAGCCACTTCTGGCAAACCAGAGCAGTGCACGGAAACGCCGTTTACATTCCCTCCGAAGTGGTACCTATTTATCTACTTGCACTTTGACATGCTTTCGAACTGCTAGGTTGGCAGGAGCTGGGACCGAGCAACGGGAGCTCACCCCGTTGCGGGGATTCTAACCGCCGACCTTCTGATCGGCAAGTCCTAGGCTCTGTGGTTTAACCAACAGCGCCACCCGCGTCCCTTTTACCCTTTTTTTAAGGTATACGCTGATACCTTATCTTTAATGTCGGTCCTTGTAAACAGCCCTGGAAATATCACTGCTCTAGTGGCATGGTACTTATATAGTAGATATATTAATATGCAAATAATAATAATTAATAATTTCTTATTGCTGCTGAAAGGAATCCAAGTTGGATGGGGCAATAAACACAATTTTTACCTTTGTGCAGTAGGCTAGTTCCTTCACACATTCATTCCGCCCACCATCTAAGCAAGCACGACACAAATTTATCAGTGCTCAAGGACAAATTCCAGCCAGGCAAGAACACCCAAGGAAGGTACAAATCAGGGCTGCTGAGGGGTGCAGCTCAAGAAGGTGTGCGGCCTGAGGAAAGGGTTAAGACTTTTGAGAGCAGCATTTGGGCACTGGGCGTCAGGTTCCCCGTCTCTGATATACACCCTTGACTGCAAGCCCCATTGAACTCAGTGGGGCTTATTTTAATTTTAAGAATTGATTTTTTATTAAGTTTCAAAAATTTTAACAGATTTACTTCACAGACAGTATACCATTTGCATATATTTTTCTTTTTTACTTCCCACCCTTCCCTCACTGATGCTTTTGCTTTTATCCTTGGTTGCTGCATTATTGTTGTTGTTGATATTTAGTCGTTTAGTCGTGTCTGACTCTTCGTGACCCCATGGATCAGAGCATGCCAGGCACTCCTGTCTTCCACTGCCTCCCGCAGTTTGGTCAAACTCATGCTGGTAGCTTCAAGAACACTATCCAACCATCTCATCCTCTGTCGTCCCCTTCTCCTTGTGCCCTCAATCTTTCCCAACACCAGGGTCTTTTCCAGGGAGTCTTCTCTTCTCATGAGGTGGCCAAAGTATTAGAGCCTCAGCTTCAGGATCTGTCCTTCCAGTGAGCACTCAGGGCTGATTTCCTTCAGAATGGATAGGTTTGATCTTCTTGCAGTCCATGGGACTCTCAAGAGTCTCCTCCAGCACCATAATTCAAAAGCATCAATTCTTTGGCGATCAGCCTTCTTTATGGTCCAGCTCTCACTTCCATACATGACTACTGGGAGAACCATAGCTAACTATACGGACCTTTGTTGGCAAGGTGATGTCTCTGCTTTTTAAGATGCTGTCTAGGCTTGTCATTGCTTTCCTCCCAAGAAGCAGGCGTCTTTTAATTTTGTGACTGCTGTCACCATCTGCAGTGATCATGGATCATTATACTTGTTACCAAACCCTCAGTGGGGCTTATTTCTGTGTAGGCAATGCATTGGATTGTGCTGCAAGACTGCAGCCCTAAACCCACTTATGTGGGACTTACTGTAAAGCTCAGTGTGACTTACTTCAGAGTAGGCATGCGCAGGCTGGCTCTGTAAGTGTCATGGCTCTTTCCAAAGAACCCTGGGAGAGGCAGTTTGAGAATTTTATTACAGATCCCTAGGCAGCCCCTCAGCGAGCAGCTGTTCCCAGCATTCCCTTGGGAAACTGAATGACTGTTAAACCAGTTTAAAGGTGTAGAACAAATATGCTGGGTTCCATTTTGCCACACAAAGTAACTATCAAATACCAGGCAGTAAAATGGCACCAGGGTTTGGGGGCACTGCTTTGGGTACTGGGGCTAAATCCTTCTAAGTTTTCTAAGAAAAGCTGACCTACATGGAACACAGTCTTGCAAGTTTCCTCCTTTGTTTCTCCCTGTCTCATAAACATTTCCTTTTCTGGAAGACTTAACACCACAGTCACAATGAAGGGGCGGGCTGTGTCACATGCTGCTTGCTTCTTGGCGGTATATATGGGAAACTGTTCCAGCCTCCTCTGGTTTATGGGCTTTGGCTCTCTGGCCCTGCCAAGTAATAAGCTGCTGGCCTGGGAGCTTCTGGGTGGACAGCTGCTATGCAAGATCATGTCTGTTCATCATGGTGTGAAAGCAGAGGGGTGAGGCCTGGAAAGCTCGTGCTTAAAAGGGAGGGTTAAGAGGGTACGGAGAAGGTTCTTCCTGACTTTTTAAGTGGGAACTGCCTGAAGGATAACTAATTAGGCCAAGTGGGGTCTGAAGGACACGTCGTCCTGAATGACGTCAAGATGGGATCCAGATATTTTCATGCAATCTTCTTTTCCTCAAAGGCCTGGGAAGCACCAAGGCCTTAAGGACTTCTGAGTCAGACTCATTGGTCACGGGAACACTAACGTACACAGAAAATATAAAGAAGAAGAGTGATGCATACCCAGAGCAGATTGACATGGTTAAAAATAAAAACATGAATGTTTTGAGGATGACATGATTGTATGTTGTGTTACGATGTTAAAGGAAGAGCTACAAAGAGTAAATCATTCAGTGTTTGACCTGTGTGGGATAGCGATCTGTTCTCCTGCAACAGAAATGATATATTTATCAGAGTTTTTTTTTTGGGGGGGGGGTTATAGGGCCATATTTGAGGGAGGAAGTGCTATTGCACATGAATTTGTTGTCATGGAAGGCTTGGAAGCTTTTACATCCAAATTTCTTCCTGGATTTTGGAGTTCCTGGAGTTATCTGGGCAGGCATCGGTATGCATCCTGCACTATCCTTTATCCTCCAGACAAACTATTTAGCATTCATTCTGATTTGCTTTCATGAGGCTTGTGTTAGACTATGTCCGATCTTTATTGAACATTTCTTCTGATACACTTATGAGGTGCTCACATGACAATGAGAATTCGTCCTGATATGCTTGCAGGCTGCTGATCACTTATTCCTATTAATCATTCATTCATCAAATACTTTTAAATTCGTTTCCATGTCACCTGCCAAAAAAGATGAATTTCAGAGATGAATTTCGGTGTTTGTTTACTTTGGTGGCAGAGTGCAATACAGTGGTATTTAATATGTTCTGGAGGTCCGTTCTTAACCTGAAACTGTTCTTAACCTGAAGCACCACTTTAGCTAATGGGGCCTCCCACTGCCGCCGTGCCGCTGCTGCGCGATTTCTGTTCTCATCTTGAAGCAAAGTTCTTAACCCGAGGTACTAATTCTGGGTTAGCTGAGTCTGTAACCTGAAGCGTCTGTACCCCGAGGTACCACTGCATGTGCTTGATTGTCTTTTGCAAAGTACTGACTGTCAAAGTACAGCCACCCCAAGACAATCACAATGCCTTGGCTCTGGGTTATTTTAAAAGCTTGGACTATCCACACTTAACAAAAACATATACTTGGCCATGTTACACCCGTGTTTTGATACGTATTTTTGAAAAATAACATGTATGGTGAAACTCACTTTAGAAGCAGTCCTCGATAGACTGACTTTAACTAGATAATCAAGTTCCACATTTAGGTTTGAGAGTATTTTGTTCCTTAAAGAAAGCCAGAATGAGAAAGTTAATGTATTCCATGAGGTATATACATGTACATTTAGAAATGCCTGGGCAAACTGGACTGAGTCAAACACATAATAAGGGTGAGGTTTGTGGTGTGTAATTATAGACTTCTTTGGCTGTGTAAAACTCTCAGACACTGAAGACTAATGGCTCACAAGACATCCCATTAAATGTATTGTACTTGTGTGCAAACACTGCAGAACATCCCCTGCCCAGCTATTCAGCTTCCATGTAGTAGGGGGCAGAGGGAGATAGCTCCCTTTGGCAAAAACGAAAATTCTCTATGCCAGGGTTATCCAACCTGGTGCCCTCTGTGTGTTGTTGAACTCCAACTCCCATCCAGGCCAACCCATCATGGACATGGTAGAGTTCCCCTCATCAGTTCTCCTCTCCGTACCACCCTAACCACCACCACCCAAAGGCAAAAATATCAGGGCACAGTTATGACTACAGCCTCAGATTTACATGGGTGTAAATCCCACTGAGCTGTCAGTAGACTCCACAGGATTCTGCTGTTGCATTAAGAATTTTACTGTGTAGTAAAATTGTGTACAATGCAAAGGGAAAAGGGCCTCATTGTTTCCCCACGAGTTGCCAAATTGCCTTCTAAATTTGCAGGTCTCAAATTTATTTATTTAATTTCTATACCGCTTTATGATTTTAAGAAAAATCTCAAAGCAGTTTACAGTATATTAAATCAGTTAAACAATGCGAAGAAAGTCAAATATAGCGTATACAGTCAAAGCAACATAACAGAATACTAAAATATTATCTTAAAGATTTCAAAATAAAACAAATGCAGTGGTGGCGATGCAGTGAGGAAGGGATTTTGCCTCAACACTAATGTTAATTAATTTTGTTCTTTATAATTATTGCGCTCCTTCGTAAATCACTGTCTTGCCGTGGCGAAGGGGCTTGAATAACTCAGAGAAGCTATGAGCTATGCTGTGCAGGGCCACCCAAGATGGACAGGTCATAGCAGAGAGTTTTGACCAAACGTGATCCACCTGGAGTAGGACTCGGTAAGCCACTCCAGTATCCCTGCCAAGAAAACTCCATGGACAAAGAAAACAGGCATATAAAAGTTATGATGCTGGAAGATGAGCCCCTCAGGTCGGAAGGCGTCCAACATGCTACTGAGGAAGAGCGGAGGACAAGTACAAGTAGATTCAGAGCTGATGAAGCGGCTGGGCCAAAGCCGAAAGGTCGCTCAGTTGCAGATATGCCTGGAAGCGAAAGGAAAGTCCAATGCTGTAAAGAAAAATATTGCATAGGAACCTGGAATGTAAGAACCATGGACCTTGGTAAGAGAAGACTCCCTGGAAAAGACCCTAATGTTGGGAAAGATTGAGGGCACAAGGGGACGACAAAGGATGAGATGGTTGGATAGTGTTCTTGAAGCTACCAGCATGAGTTTGACTAAAACTGTGGGAGGCAGTGGAAGACAGGAGTGCCTGGCATGCTCTGGTCCATGGGGTCACGAAGAGTCAGACACGACTAAACGACTAAACAACCATGACATAATTATTATGCTTTGTGGGCTATTGAAAGAGAAGGCAATTGAGGGGCAATGCTAGAGAATGAGAGACTATTTGCTGAAATGTACCGAAACTGGGTAAGCAGTTCTCAGCACTGCTGAAAATGTTCATTTAAAAACTGAATAGTTTTATCTCAGATGAGATGAAAACACTATATCTAATCTCTGTAGTTGATTATCACCCACTCAGTGCTCACCTGATGGTCGGAGCATCCTGTTCTATGGGGTCTTGCTGATAGTGATCAAAGGCTATGCCCATATGCCAGAGCCAAATGTGTACACCAAATTCTCTTGGGGGTGTTGACCTCCAATGAGCCATATTCAGAAGTATTACTTGGTAAGGCACGCTATAGACACAGATCTGGGATTACATTATCTTTTTGTTGTGCTGCCTTTTTCTGCAGGACTATACAAAGTCCTCTTAGATCAAGGATGACACACAGCCCTCAGTGAAATCTCATGCAGCCCTTGGCTTAATGTTGAAAGACCTCTGCTATCACCTAGTTCAGACTTTTTGGAAGAGTGATCAACCATCTCCTGGCAGTCCACTTCACAACAAGTAGGAGAGAGAGCAGGGCCGGATTTAGGTTTGATGAGGCCCTAAGCTACTGAAGGTAAAGGGGCCCTTTATATGTTTAGCTGTCCTTTGTCAACAACAAATTGTTGCTGTTTTTTGTGTTGAATATATGCTATATGGTAATCTATGGACCTAATAGGTATCTAAAGCCATTTTATTTGTTTTTTATCTTATATTTTTGAAATGTACATCCAGGTTTTTTTTCTTTAAATTTTTTGGGGGCCCCCAAAAGAGTGGGGCCCTAAGTTATAGCTTGTTTAGCTTATATGTAAATTCGGCCTGGGAGAGAGAGAATGGGGTGGCTGCCTGTGCCCACTTTTTTGACTCTGACCCTATGCACCCCCAGCATGTAGACCCCAACAGATGACATCGCAGGAAATTTTGCCTTCTCCAGGTAGTAATGGTTGCCTATCCCTTTCGTAGATCACTGACACACAGAACATCAAAGCATTTGGTATAACTTTGAGCTTGAATACCTAACACAATTCTAGAGCAGATAAACCAAGAAAAAGCATTTATTTGCAAGTCAGAGTAAATAAGAAGACATTGACAAAATATACCGTTTAAAAGAAAAAGAAAAAGTCATTCCAGCTTCCTTACTCTAGCTATCCACTGATCTCAATTTTCAGGGCTGACTTTAAAGACTGCATGGATTACTGTGCTATGAGTTAAATATTTCCATATCAATTATGATACAAATATGTGGAAAGAGACACCTAACCAGAAGTGATGTGCTTCTTCATTCTTGCCACTAATTTATTGGGAGGTTCTGGAGAACAACTCTATGGCACATCTCTGGTTATTTTCTGGCACATGGTTACATCAGCTCCCTCTCGTAGAAACCTTGTGGTCACTTTTAACTTCTGTGCATTTTTTTTTTTTTCCATCTTAAGTATCTGTCGCAATCGCCTGAATTCTTCTTTGTGGTGAAAAAGGCAGAATAGAACAGGTTCCTTCTCGTTTCATTTTACAAGGTCAGCCCTGCTGATTTGGACATTTCCCTAAGCACACTATTGGCTTCTTCTCTGAACTCCTTGGAAAACTGTTTGGCCCGGCTTGTTTTCTCAATATTTTCTCTCAGGTTCCCTTCTAGCCGTATCCGGTCTAGGTATTCGGAGTTGGCAACTTTCACTCTCTCCACCAATGGCTCCTGGTTCTGAAGCACCGAGGAGATCATTTCCTGAAGCTTTGTTTCCATGCTGATTACTCCTTTGGTGGCACGGTTCAGCTCTCCCACCTGCTGCTTAGCCCACTCCAGTTTCTCAGGGACCTTTTCCTCCTTCGCATCCAGCCAGAACCTGTATCCCTCCATATGCACCTGCACATTGCAAGCACCTGAAAGACAAAGCAGTGGTTAAGCTCCAACTTGACGTAAGTCCAAGAAAGAAGGCTAATTGTGTTAGTTCCAAGAAAGCTAAACCCATCAAGCAGCAAAGCTTCTAACAGTGGCCAGCTGTCAAAGATATTGCCATGTCATGAAATCTGATTATTTCCACTTTACTTATCAGAGACCCGGTTGTATACCTACATATATGTCTGTGTGCATGTGAGCTGTAATACAGTCATTTGGCAATATTAAGCCAAGATTATCCATGCCACTTTCTTGTAAGAAACAAATCCCTGGCATAACCCCATTGGCATGCTCTTCATTGAAGCCACTCTGGTGAATTTGACCCATAATCCCATGGCTTTTTCCTGCTATTCATTCAACACAAAACTATCAGGTATTGGGTAAGTCTCTCTAACGAATTCTGATCTAATCTCTTTTCACATTGCCCTCTTGTCTCTCTCATTGTTAGTTTCACAAACACTTGGCTCTTCTTTCTGAAGAGGGCATTGTTGAGCTTTTGGCATGAGTTTAGAAGGCTGGCATTACATAGGAAGGATTGGATTTAAAGGCATGTGAAGAGGTAATACACAGGAAGTCAAAATCTAAAGAGCGGGGAAATAATATAAGGCCCTCCTGGATACAGCATCGCCATGTAATGTGCAACCCAGTCAATAGGTTATTCAACAGGAAAAAATAAAGCCTAGGATCCTTAGCATCTTGATAACTTACAGAGGCAGAAAAGCAGGAAGCTGAATTAATTAATCCAGCCAAGTTTCTCCTGAAAAGGAGCCTTAAAGCTAAATTTCTGCCCATATGACCCCCCCAATTCTAAACAGCAGGATCAGTATATCTGCCTGGTAGCTAATAGAACATTCAACAACATTAGCACAACGTCAGATCTTTTACCTCTTAATTGTGTCCAAAATTCACCATTAAACTACAAGTGTTATTCTAACCCTACTAATGATTTTAACTGCTTACAATGGTTTTTAAGATAAATATGCTGAATCCCATGCGCAGCATGGATGCTAATTTTAGGATTGGGCTGACTGTTACCTAAAGATTGAATTGCCGCTGAGAGATCATGTCTGCTATCTTTGCTTCCACCTTACATTGCTACCTAAGAGTAGCACAAATCATCCTCATCGTTTTATTATTTGCGTGTTGAGGTCCCCAATACAGCCCAAAGGAAAACACAATTGACACTTAATTTTTGTTTATTTTTTTTGGCATAATTTTGGCCACAACTTTATTCAAATACAGCAATGTGAGTGGTTGCTTAGGCATTGGTAGCACTAACTGCCCCCGCACGGGGACAGCTCTGACATTCGCACCCCCCGCGAAGTCAGGAAGGGTAAGTCACCTGGGGAGAGAGATGGGACTGGGAACCATGCCTCACCTCTCCCCAGCATGCTCCCAGGGGCTTGCATGGCCCTAGCCCCTTGCCAGGGGGTTTCGGACAAAAGCATGGGGGAGCCCCTGGGTTCCTTTAACGGTAAAACCCTTCAGCAGCAGCAGCAGCAGCAGCATTTTGGAGGGGCAGGCACAGCCGAATCCATACCCCTCCAGCAACCAATTCCAGACCAATGCCTAACCGCAAACCTTACAAGTTGTGACGATTTGCTACGCGGTGGGCGAAAACCAAGTGGCACACACTAATCAGCCAAATGGCAAAATTCCTACCGGGCCCCTGCCCCAAAGCAGACGACCCCATGACAGGCAATAGCAAGGTCAAGCAAACAGCCTAACATTAGGGAAGGGAGGGCGGGTGATCCGAAGCATGCAGCGAAAGAGGACGTCCGTTGCTGCGTGCCTTGTATTTAACAAATAGGGCTGTCAATCACTAAATGGCAACATCTAAATTTCCCCAGTAACAGCCCGCCCCTGCTTACGAGTTGGCCAAACCGTCTGCCCAGAAACAGCAAGGTGTCTTGGAATCCCCAACCGCAACACGTGCTCTCCGTGATGGAGAACACGCTTTGTACCATGCCCATCTGACTAGGTTGCCCCAGCCACTCTGGGCGGCTTCCAGCATAAGAAATGGTCAAACTAATTTTGGATGGCATTTGGAATGTAGGTAGAGGTAAAGGTAAAGGATCACTGGACGGTTAAATTGAATTCAACTATGGGGTGCAGTGCTTATCTTCGCTATCAGGCCAAGGGAGCTGGTGTTTGTCCAAAAACAGCTTTCTGGGTCATGTGGCCAGCATGACTAAACAGCTTCTGGCACAACGGGACACCGTGATGGAAGACAGAGTGCACGGAAACACTGTTTACCTTCCCTCTGCAGCAGTACTTATTTATCTACTGGCGCTGGTATGCTTTCGAACTTCTAGGTTGACAGGAGCTGGGACAGAGCAACAGGAGCTCACCCCACCACACGGATTCGAACTGCCAACCTCACAATTGGTGGTTTAGACCACAGCGGCACACACATCTCATTGGGAATGTGATGCTAACAAACAGACCACTCAAAGGACAACAACTTCTCTTTATTTGAACCTGATGGAGAGGCTGGTGCAGAATTTATCTTAAGGTAAACACCCACAGTCTCCTGGCCATTGAGCCAAATGCAACATGGTGTCAGAAATAAGAGAATTATTTCATGATGTGATATTTTGATGCCACAACGTATCTAAATGTCCTTCTTTATGATGGACCAGGTGCATGAATATATATGCATCTGTGCAGTTATGTTCCACCTCCTCATGGGTTTCTTGCATAGCTTTGCCCCTTGCATAACTCTGTCCCCAATCCTCCCATTCTTTTCCCCCCTTCTGTTTTATTAAATTTGCTTAGTAACATAACATTATTATATATATTCTATAAAACAAAGAATACAGAACAAAATTCATTCATACTACAATGCCTAACCACATAACATTAATATATATGGTTTCTGAAAAAAAGGCTTACATAACAAAATCAATTCAAAATACATTTTTTTTCCTTTTTCTTCCCCCTCCCTTCCCACTCCAGCCCTCCCCGCCCCCGGTCAGGCCTTCCTTCTTCATATCTTTATCCATGTACACAGTCTGCTCATTTGAACTTGTATGTTAGGGTTGGCTTCCCCTCTTTCTATCCAGTTCCTGTAAAATACCAATTTATTTGTGATTCTTTGGCATTTATTTTCCCATCTATCCTCTGCCACTATCTGTGTGAATATTTCTGATTGTACGTATTCAAAAACATAATCATTCCATTTTTCCATATTCCATTTACCAATCCTCCCATTCTATGTTTTGACAGGGTGCTAGAAGAGGGTGACATGCTAGCCTCTTTACATGTTCCTTGCTACTTCAGCTCTGATTGCAAAGTCATGTTCCTCCTCCTGCCCCAAACTTTGCCACCCTCCTGTTCAGGTTAAGATCTGCAACAGATAGCCCACTCTATGCATGCAGCTCTTCACAGGATTTTGAACCTTGACCAATTCTGGTTGTAAATCATGTGCGGAGTCTGCATACATAGAGAAGGATACCAGCTGCAAACATTATCCTGAACATGCCAAAGATGGTTAAAAATGAAAATTGCTGAATTCATAAAAAGGCATACATTTCCTACAAAAGAGACACAAAACTTTTGATTCCTGTGTTTGCTAAAGCTATCCAATATTAGAAGTGCTGGGGAATGCTTGCCCTCTACACATGAGTAACATGTGAAAAGGGCTTCAGTGTATCATAAAACAGCCTATTGCTATGATATCTGGGCTCTGCAGATATGATATCTGGGACGCAGGTGGCACTGTGGTCTAAACCACTGAGCATCTTGGGCTTGCCAATCAGAAGGTCAGTGGTTTGAACTCCTGCGATGGGGTGAGCTTCCGTTGCTCTGTCCCAGCTCCTGCCAACCTAGCAATTTGAAAGCACACCAGTGCAAGTAAATGAATAGGTACAGTTGCAGCGGGAAGGTAAACAGCATTTCCGTGCCCTCTGGTTTCCGTCATGGTGTCCCATTGCACCAGAAGCCATGCTGGCCACATGACCTGGAAAGCTGTCTGTGGACAAACGCCAGCTCCCTTGGCCTGAAAGCAAGATGAGCGCCACAACCCCATAGTCCACTTTGACTGGACTTAACCATCCAGGGTTCCGTTACTCAGACATGCATTTGGGAACCCAGTTCTTAATCTTGTACCATCATTAATATATATGGTAATGTTCCTATTGAGGCTTATATAGGATCAGATCCCGACATCTCTTACCAACCAGATGAAGAGCTGCTGGGCAACTCCAGGAACAAAGACTGAACAAATCACCTCAGGTTCACACATAAACCCACAATGCTAAAATGGAGGGCTTGGCCTTCTTCATTTTCACACTCTATATTCTTCAGCATCATTTCCCCACCAACTTACTATGCTCTTGTTGTATCTTCTCTATGCATACAGAAAGACTGCTTGTGGGCGAACAGCAGTAGGTGTCTTTGAGGTCCCGGATGGTTTTCCGGATAGCCATGCAGTGGCATTGCTGCTTGTTAAAAGCCTCAGTGATGTCAGTAAATAGTGTGTCAATCTCAGGCACGTTGACCAGTTTCACAGTGAAGGGTTTCTCTTTGTTGAAAAGAACTAGAAATATGGAAGCCCATAGAAACTTCTGGTTAGTGTGTTATGTTAGGGGATAAAAGAAATATGGAAACCACAACAACATTTGAATATGATTCCTGAAACTAACAAGAATTAAGTACATAAGATGGATCAGTACAAACAAATTTACAAAGATTATCTTGTTCCCATTCCTTGTGCACTGAAGTATACATTTTTCCCCCAATGGAATTTCCCTCTTACATATTTACAATTGCACACCTATTTTTTCTTGAGGGGAGGGGAATCCTTGAAATTATTACATTTTACTTGCCAAAGCTACCCACTTGCTTAGCAGTGTGCCAGTGGCATTATCCCAAAATTATTTCTGTGAGGCTTAGCCTTCATGTGGTATGCTTCAAGAATAATGTTTATGGGCATTCTTGGTTCGTGAAATGTGTTAAATGGCCAGCAGAAATGGCCAATTGAGAAAGGTGCAATCTGATAGTGCCATATACTTCTTTTCTCTATCCAAGGAAGTCTGGTTCTCTAGCCCATGTCAGAGATGTTGGGTTGAATGAACCATTAGTCTGGCAAAGTGCAACTGTTCTTCTTGTGCAATGATGACTATGTAGGCTGAGGTTTTCAAGTACATCCTAAGGAAAGTTCAGTGCCCAGCTGCCATTTTAATTTTAATGGAAACTGGCACTCCAAATCCCTCGGAGTCGGCTTTGAAAAATCACAGCCATCATATCCGGAAGGCAGTTTCAACAGAATAAGCACGGGAGCCACAATTAAACCTTGAATTATCCAATTGAAAATCAGACCAGTGGTTCCATGACAACACAGTTTAGACTAGAGTTTATTTTTCAAACCTGCAGAACCTAATTGCATCTTTCGAAGCAATGGAATATATGATCCATTTGCTGGTAGTATTTCCAGCAGATGTCACAGAGACTTTTAAAAAGAAAAAAGGAGAGAGAGAGAGAGAGAGAGAGAGAGAGAGAGAGAGAGAGAGAAGAAAGAAAGAAAGAAAGAAAGAAAGAAAGAAAGAAAGACTCTGGTCATTTTTTTGTCTACAAAGAATGGTCACAGTATGCATCTCTACTGCCAAATTCATTCTGAGAACATTTGAAAAGTATCTCATTTCTGAAATAACAAAGTAAAATAAAACATCCTTTTTTTTCCTTTGAATGTGTTTGCGGGGAGCACTTAATTCCACATTATTTTGGAAGAACAAATCCAATCCAGCTTTCTGAAATGATAGTATAAATGTAAATGATCTCATTTGGATTAAGCACCAATCTACAATGGAACCAAATCTTTGACTATAGGTGGTTTATTCTTCAAAATTAAAAGTATCACATAAAGAGAGAAAGAGAAAGTAAAACATATTTTAAGGAACTGATTAGAGTAATTAAATGTGTAAGACATATTGAAGTGGTTCATTTTTTTCACTCTCTCTGTATGTTTCACCTGCTTCTGTAGGGTGTAGTGCACTGAATTTTCCTGAATTTAGTTTTACTAAACGTATTTTATTTTGGAGCATTTTATTTAATCACATGAGCTGAACTGTATATTTGATTATGTGAGATGAATTATGACAAATGTTTGGTATGGAATATTGTTTACTGCTGCATAGGGTGGAACGGAAGATGTATATACCTTTTCTGATTCTCTTAAATGTTCAGTTTCCCCAAAACTGAGCCTAGGTATAGTCAACAAAAATATTTAGAACCTCTACAGCTTGATGAAGCTGAGAGAAATATGTGGGGTATGGATACATGTCTGGGATAGGAGCCAACTTCCAGGGGCCGATGTCCCTTCAGCTCCCTCTATAAAATATTTGAGTAGGGCTGCCATACATTCAGGGTTGTTGTTTTGTTTTTAAAAAAGTTAATGACCTCCTCATTGCCATTCAAATGGTGTGCATGCACTGTGCCATGTGATCGATTATACAGGGTGGGACTGACTTGGGCCCCCTCAATATTTCACCCAAGTTAGCACCCCTGAGTTTGACCTGCCCAAAGATTTAGAGTGTATTTGAAGTGAAGATTGGCACTGGGCCTAATCTAAAATGTAGGGTAACTTTGGGAGCACAAATTAGAATTCCCTTCGTGTAGATTCTTCAAGACTCCTTGCTTTGATCTCACTCTCAGCTATTCCCATCTTTCCTCTGTGACATCATCACGTGACTTGCGTGGCATGTCCTCTGACATGTCCTCTGTGACATAGCCACTTCCGACTTCAGGAGGAGGTGGTGTTGCAGGCTCACGCCCCCAACACCCGCACAGAGGCTGACTTCCAGCCCCCGCTCGATCAGGGGAATCCTCGGGCTGCATCATCCCCTGGCCAGCCAATCAGCTGGCTCAGGGGGTGTGGCTTGCGTCATTTAAGGCAAGCATGGCCAGGGATCTCCCTCTTTGGCCACTCAGCTTTCTGGTTAGGCATTGGTAGGGGTATTGTTATGTAGATGTATTGGGGGGGAGGAGCGCCATCACCTCCCCCAAATATTGAAGGGTAGTCCGATAAAGGACTCTGGGGGACGTGGCCTCATCCGAAGCCTATGGAGGTCAGGGCCTAAAGCGCGCCCCCAAGCGGTGACCCTGGGGGAGTCCTTAGTTGATGTGCATCAAGAGGGCTCCCCCCTGCTGGTGTTAACCCTTCCCGGTCTTCAAGCAAACAGGCTGAAGCTGGATAGTCGGATAGGACCAATGCCTAAGCCAATACCGTTCATCACCTGTAACCAATAAAGTTGTGGCCATATTTAGCCCATTAACCTAAATACTTGTGTCACGTGTCGTTATCCCTACTGGTGGGAGGCGGGAACTCACCACGCAACATCATATGACTTGTTACTTAACAATATGTCCTCTGTGACATCATCATATGACTTGTTACATAATATACCAATACCAGAATATACCAATTCTATCCTGTTCGCTACATGATCCCAGCACAAATAACCCAGAATGATGAAAGAAGCAACAGGACTGGGAAATGGCATCAAAGAAGTTTGGTGCAAAGTTGACTTATCATAACTGTTGCTGGTGGTGGGTGTTTTCCTTCTTTAAAAAATGTCTACCCATGCAGAGTGACTTATTTTACAAAAAGAGAAAGAAACAATAGTATATTAGTTAAAGCTCTAATTACAATTGACATCCATAAAAGTATTATGAAGTATAAGAAAACAAAAGCAAGTAAAATGACTCAGAATTTTACCACTTTTGGTGTCTCGATGAGATTGTCGGGAGTGCTGTGCATTGAGAGGTTCCCTCTGTGAATACAGCAAGATATTTAGAAATAAATGTATACTCTTTCTGAATCCACAACTCATTCTACTACCCTCCCCTTCCACACTTGGCTCCCTTCTGTTGTATTATGTATTGCAAGCCCCTCAACCTGCCCTCTTGTGCTTTGTAGAGTGCAGTGCACACTATATTATTTTTATTCCTAAAAAATAATAATAATCCTGTTTTCCACTATTTGGACTCAAAGCAGTTTTCAACAATAAAGTATACAGTACAGTCATACCTCGTGTTGCATTAGGTTCATGTTGCGTCTTTTCAGCTTGCGAACGTGGCAAACCCAGAAGTGTATACTTCCAGGTTTCGCTGTGCATGTGTGCGCAGAAGTATTTTGCACGCTTCACATATGCGCAGAAGTGCTCTATCATTCTCCACGCTTGCACAGAAGCGCCGCTCTAGTTGTGGACTTTTTAGGGTGCGAATGGCACCCTGGAATGGATCTTGTCCGGAACTAGAGGTACCACTGTATGCAGAACTTAAAACATAAGTTAGACCTTCAAAATGTAGAAACCTCGGGAATTTAAAATCTCAAATGTATACATACATATACTCAGTGCTTTTTTTCCTAAAAAAATGTTTAGGGGTACTCTCATTTTCCTACTCATATTGAAATATTGCCCCTGAATGAGGCCAAACTTATATTCACAAAATGTTTAGGGGTTTGGGTACCTTCGCGTAGCCCCAGAAAAAAAGCATTGCATATACTCATATAGAAGAAGAAGAAGAAGAAGAGTTTGGATTTGATATCCCGCCTTTCACTCCCCTTCAGGAGTCTCAAAGCGGCTAACATTCTCCTTTCCCTTCCTCCCCCACAACAAACACTCTGTGAGGTGAGTGGGGCTGAGAGACTTCAAAGAAGTGTGACTGGCCCAAGGTCACCCAGCAGCTGCATGTGGAGGAGCGGAGACACGAACCTGGTTCCTCAGATTACGAGACTACCGCTCTTAACCACTACACCACACTGGTAAAAGTGATAAAAGTGTCGTGAGTGCCAGCATAAAATGGCTGCCATGGGCACAGGGAAGCACCAACAGTGCTCCCTCTCCCTTCCTATGATTTCAGTGATCTACTTGGTGGTGAATATTACAAAGACACACAATCCTATTACTGCAAATAGAACTATTACTGTATTAGTTCATGTTCACAGGAGGAGATGCGCAAGATTGAGTTGTTGATTTTTTGTTCTTTCTCTTGGGCTTTATAAGCACTCACGTGCTCCCTAAGTTATTGGCTGAAATGGGGTGTCTGCTTTGCTCATTGAATATTGTGTAAACAGGGAGTACAGATTCTGTTCTATGAGTTGGGAGATAGTAAGGCATTGGGTAATCCTTGTTGTGTGCATCCATTCACTGACTCACAAAGAGAAAAGGAAATCCCTGCTCACATGCAGCTCTGGTACACTCTTAAGAGTTTGGATATCAGTCCTTCGAGACCAGTGATGGCCAAACTTGGCCCTCCAGCTGTTTTGGGACTACAATTCCCACCATCCCTGACCACTGGTCCTGTTAGCTAGGGATGATGGGTGTTGTAGTCCCAAAACAGCTGGAGGGCCAAGTTTGGCCATCACTGGTCTAGACAAATAGGATGAAGTCGCAAGGGCTCTGGATGTTATGTTAAGCAGAACTGTGAACGTGGAAACGCTGAATATATTTACTAGAGTTGCAAGCCTTTTAAGTCAAGATCTGTGAATAAAGCTCTTATGAAAGGAGCAAAACTTCTGATCGCCTGTAACAAAGTGTTTCACAACTTTTAGGGCCTGTCATCTTACACTGCCATTGCAAGTTTGGAAGCGTGTGCTTTGCTTGTGAGTTGACAGACCTTTCCCATTCCCTTTGGAAAATTACCAGCAGGTTTGCTGCATTCCATGTTTTGCTCCACTTTTTTCTGGTTTTCCATAGAGAAATAATAATAATAGTAATCATTATAATTTTGGAAACTTTGTTGGAAAAAGGATCCTGCCAAAAAAATCTGATTTTGGGTGGAACAAAGCAATGACCTCTGTCTGAGCAAGTGTAGCATGCCATGCCATCGTTCAGAGACAGAATCATGGCAGGAGCAAAGTTTTAGATTCACCTCCAGTAAAGTTAAATCTTTGGGGAGAAGGACTTCGTTTCTGCCGATATATTAAGAATTAGCCAACAAATGTCTGTTGAATGTGAGGAGTTGTTTTTGCAGAGCCAAATAGACAGATGGTTATCTTGTAATATTCATTGCATCACTAGGTGATGGAAGTTTTAACATATTCTTGAGCTTTTTTAAAAAAATGTACAGATTGCTTTGGTTTTTAATTATCATCTAAGGGCCCTGCAGCCAAATCTATGGCTGATTGCTTGGAATAAAATATATTATTCTTCCCCATCACTACCACTCAAAATCCAGCCTCTCACCTTTCTTTTCATTCTTCTCAAGCCTTCCTCTACCTGGTATTCAGATGTTGCTAGAATATAACTCCTATCATTCATGATCATTGGACATTCTGACAAGGAAAAGGGTGCAAAGCCTCTGGGAGGATCAGGAAGAATGCTCTAGACAGTACCTGCCCAACTCCTACACTTCATTTACTCCTTTAAAATCCTGTTCCCTTTCATCCGCATCACCTCGATCTTCTATTCCTTTCCTTCCTCTGTCTATGTTTCCTCTCTTTAAAATCCAAGGAGCTTCGTAAATGCCAGACAAAACTTATTTCCCTCTCCCTCCCTCCCTTTCTTTTGCACACACACACAACCACACCAGGACTACACTTTAGAAGCTGATGACTTCTAAAAGCTTCATTGTGTCCATTACCACAAAGTCCCTTATTATCAGCAATACAGATAAGTGCTGCAATCATAAACATAACTGCTCGGAATTCCCCATTGTACTGTAGGATTGTGCTGCGGTTACATTCATTGGTGATCCCTTGTTACCATTATTCTTGTGTTCTCTTTTAAAAACGTACAGTCTGCTTTGGCCTGCTTCTCCAAAATATGCAGCAGGTGCTGCTGCTGTTAGCCTTGCCACTATCATGAGTGTGGAGATCTATCACAATGAGGTAAAGACGAAAAAGATCCACTGAAATAAGCACAGCATGAAGCTGTCCCACAAAGTAAACTTTTGAACCTACATTTATGCCTGGCTGTCAGAATTACGACATCATGATTCAGCTTCCCTAACAGTTTCTGATACATGTCTACCTTGTTATACTGGGTTTTCATTCTCTTTCATGCATTTATTTACTAACTTTGCTGGTCTCAAAGTCCCATCAGACCTTTAAAGTTCAGCAAGTTGGGTTTTTAGATGTGGGGTGGGTGGGGGGCTCAGTTACTTCATCTACTGTCACTGAGATGGACTTTAGGGTTTCTTACTTTCAAAATCATAGATGACCACGTGGCCTAATGGATAAGGCGTCTGACTTCGGATCAGAAGATTGAGGGTTTGAGTCCCTAATCTCTCACTGCCTCCATTTCTTCCCCATCACCTCCTGGCAAATAGAAGGGGAAGAAATGGAGGCAGTGAGAGATTTTACTTTCTTGGGCTCCATGATCACTGCAGATGGTGACAGCAGTCATGAAATTAAAAGATGCCTGCTTCTTGGGAGAAAAGCAATGACAAACCTAGACAACATGTTAAAAAGCAGAGACATCACCTTGCCAACAAAGGTCCATATAGTTAAAGCTATGGTTTTCCCAGTAGTGATGTATGGAAGTGAGAGCTGGACCATAAAGAAGGCTGATCGCAAAAGAATTGATGCTTTTGAATTATGGTGCTGGAGGAGACTCTTGAGAGTCCCATGGACTGCAAGAAGATCAAACTGATCCATTCTGAAGGAAATCAACCCTGAGTGCTCACTGGAAGGACAGATCCTGAAGCTGAGACTCCAATACTTTGGCCACCTCATGAGAAGAGAAGACTCCCAGGAAAAGACTCTGATGTTGGGAAAGATGGAGGGCACAAGGAGAAGGGGACAACAGAGGACGAGATGGTTGGACAGTGTTCTCGAAGCTACCAGCATCAGTTTGACCAAACTGCAGGAGGCAGTTTGACAGAAGTGCCAAATGGACTGTTTCAAGAGGTGGCAGAGAGATATTTCTAGATTTGTCTGGCAGGGCAAGAAGCCCAGAATAAAATTTAAAATACTAACAGATGCAAAGGAAAGAGGTGGATTTGCCCTGCCAGACCTTAAACTTTATTATGAATCAGCAGCTTTTTCTGGTTGAAAGAATGGCTGCTTCTTGAAAACACTGACATTTTGGATCTAGAAGGTTTTAACAATGTATTTGGATGGCATGCATATCTGTGGTATGATAAGGTCAAAGCACATAAAGCATTTAAAAATCATATTGTCAGGAAAGCTCTGCTTAATGTTTGGATAAGATATAAGGACTTATTGGAAAATAAAACCCCAAGGTGGCTGTCACCGATGGAAGCGAAAGCCTTGAAAAAGCTCAATATGGAGGTCAAATGGCCGAAATATTGGGAAATTTTAGAACAAGATGGAGATAGATTGAAACTGCAGAGTTTTGAAAAACTAAAAAATAAAGTGCGAGACTGGCTTCATTATTATCAGATAATGGAGGCATACAATTTGGACAAGAAAATTGGATTCCAGGTGGAAAAATCAAAATTAGAAACAGAACTGTTAGAACCCAAAACTAAGAATTTGTCAAGAATGTATAACTTGCTGCTGAAATGGAATACTCAGGATGAAACGGTGAAATCTGCTATGATTAAATGGGCACAAGATGTTGGACATAATATTATGTTTGCTGACTGGGAACAGTTATGGACCACAGGTATGAAGTTTATGTAATTAATTAAGTATTAATTATTTAATTAATTAATTAATAAAAATTTTAATTAATTAATTAATTAATAAAAATTTTAATTAATTAATTAATTAATAAAAAATTAATTAAGTAATGCCCTAAGAGAGAATATTATGAAAATGATATACAGGTGGTACATAACCCCAGTCAAGCTTGCAAAAATCTACCATTTGCCCGATAACAAATGTTGGAAATGTAAAGAAACTGAAGGTACATTCTTTTACCTTTGGTGGACGTGCCCAAGGATTAAGGTTTTCTGGGAGATGATTTATAATGAATTAGAAAAGGTATTTAAATATACCTGCTTGAAGAAACCAGAGGCCTTTCTCCTGGGCATAGTCGACCAATCGGTGTTAAAGAAGGACAGAACTTTCTTTATGTACGCTACAACAGCAGCAAGAATACTCATCGCAAAGTATTGGAAGACACAAGAGCTACCCACACTGGAGGAATGGCAAATGAAAATGATGGACTATATGGAATTGGCGGAAATGACTGGCAGAATCCGTGACCAGGGAGAAGAGTCGGTGGAAGAAGATTGGAAGAAATTTAAAGTTTATTTACAGAAACACTGCAAAATCAATGAATGTTAGAGTGATGTTGGATTGAAGTTAAGTGGCTTCTAGCTGAACAGGTTTTAAAGCTATAAATGTATTAAGATTAAGGATTAGGACCAAAAAGACTAAGAGAAATGGAAAAATTGATTCAAATAGGTAAAAATTTAATGTCATAATATATTAAGATTTAGGACTGGAATTAAAAAGGAGGGAAAGAAATTGCTGGGTTTGTAAATTGAATTGGAATTCAAAAGAGGGAGGTATGAGGAAGTCCGGGAAACAAGTAAACTTAAAAGAGGTTATGAAAGGACGGAACTATTTTTAACTTTTTTTTCTTTTTTCTTTTTTTTACTTTTTTCTATTTTGTATTTTGTATTTTGTATGGTGTATTGTTCTCTGTTTTTGTTAAAATCCTCTTGTTTATTAATGTGATTTTATTCTTTCTGAAACTTTAATAAATATTAATTTAAAAAAAAAAAAAGGAGTGCCTAGCATGCTCTGGTCCATGGGGTCACGAAGAGTCGGACACGACTAAACGACTAAACAACAGCAACACTTTCAAAATCAACCAGTGGGTTACCTTTTGTAGGCCCCAAAGACCCTGCCTTGACTAGGGATGGAGCAGAAATTTATTTCATTTCATAGTAGTAGGGGGCCCTGCTCAATTTGCACTTTTCGAAATGAAAAAAACAATCATCTTTCAAAATTCACACTTCTCTGAATTTTGCAATGCAGTCAAGTAACGCGTACAAAAGAGGATCTACAAGGATAAAATGCCAGGTCATGTTTTTGGCAGGAAGGTGTGGGAAACTGAACAGAGAGGAGTTTCACTGAGCACCTTACGACATCTTTGAGCGTGAATGGCATTTCACAAGACTTTCTCCTCAGGGCTCTGGGGCCCGTGAGCAAGGTACAGTGTGCCTCTGAAGCAAACATGTCTCACCCAGCTGGAATTGTTGGCCCTTCCCACAAACATTAACAGGTGTGGCTTAGGGATAGCGGCTGTTAGAACCACTGCCCTCCCCCCTGGACAAAGCCCCCCCCCCACGTGATCCTGCAAACTTTATTTTCCTGCACTATCATGTTGCCTCTGCGGATTTAATCACAATAAACATGGCCCTAGTTCAACCCACTAACCTGTATCTAACCTCTTGATTTCTGGCAATTAAATATTCATCTTAAGCATCATGCACCTGCCTGTTTGACTTCTCTGTACAAACTGAGCTGTCCTGTTTCCTTTTGCTCACAATATTTGCTAAGAGCAGCTCAGGATTTGCCGCACTTTTGTTTTCCCCAATGCTTTTCCCCCTTGCTTGTTTTCCCCAATGTTGATCTCTTACCTCTCTTGAAGCAACTTGGAAACAGGGACAGCAGCAGCAGAAGGAGACAGACATGCTTTTCAAAGCTACAAAAGAGACCCTTTTTCTTTTCTTCCCAAAGAAAGCAAACGTTAATGAGAACTTGTCAGGTCACGTGCCTTAATGAGCATGCACCCCACCTTGATTAGAATTAAAACAACACAACAAGTGGCAGAAACCATTTCAAAATCATTGTACGTGGCACGGCAAACTGGGGGCAGGATTCACGGTCAAGCTGCGGTTCTCCTTGCATATTTATCTTTGCAGACATAATTGTCTCAGACAAGTCAGACTTGTTCCTTCAGCAAACAAACTCTACATTGTCCAACCCTCTGGACTTTAAAGTGTTACTTCCTCTACACTGGCACTCCTGGAATGTACCATTACCCCCAATGGGGGTGGAATAGGGAGAACAGCAGAAGGAATATTCCAATGTGCTGACAAAATGAATCTTATGTGCTATCTAAGCAACTGCTCAGTGCCGGAAAATAAACCAGCTTCTGGTTTTTATAGCAACATTATATTGTATGCAGTTAGTTGGATGGACTGAAACTCCTGTAGCAACTTTTAACTCCACCCAAGATTGTTCTTTTTAATGGAGCTGTACGTCATTTCATCTCCTTAGGTTGTAAAAAATATATATATAGAAGGAGACTTCTGCACTCCACATGAAAAGAGTGAAAAGGTTTGTTGATTGGTTGACTGAATGAATATTTCTGGGCTGTATTTCCAACTTATCAAGGATGATTGCCCTGAGCCCGGGCTTGGCTGGGGGGCGGGGTATAAATGAAAATTTATTATTATTATTATTATTATTATTATTATTATTATTATCAGAGTGACATATGCTGAAGCACTTTTCAGCTGTTTGGTTTTCTCCTCCTGAATGCGTGTATGATGGGTGGAGGGAGAAAACAGGACCCGCCCCCTACCACATGCCATGTGTGTCCAGTCAGCACATCTGCACTGTGTCTATCTATGCACAAGCATGTTCCCACATGCATAGGCATATTGCAGATGGGCAATGAAACAAACATATGACAGAGAAAGAATTTGGCAGATTTACAAGACTGCCTCTGCCTGACACACTTCCATTCAAAATGTGGGCAGATGTACCTGGACAGAGTGCTTAATATCAATCATATGAAGAACAAAATGATAGAATAGTGCTCGTGCCCATATTTCCCCCTGCTGAATTGCTTAGTGAATCTCTCTGATTAGGACACAAATGTTATCTTGTTGCAAGTAGTGTGTAGTTCCATGGCCAGCATACAGCAAACTCCCCTTTCCTTATATTCCACAGGTTGTCACATCCCAGTTCCAGTCATCCTGACTCCTGTTACTGTTGTGGAGTCAGACATCGTTTTTTGGATGGAGACAAGCATTCCAATCCTCACGTCTAGTATAATAACGCATGGGATCAAAACAGATTAGCCTAGTTAGTGATCATTGTACAATGGTACCTTGGTTCTCAAACACCTTGGTACTCAAACAACTTGGAACCCAAACATTGCAAACCCAGAAGTAAGTGTTCCAGTTTGCGAACTTTTTTCGGAAACCGAACGTGCTCCGTTTGGAGTGTTACACTTCCGATTTGAGTGTTACGCTGAGGTCTGTCTGCTTTTGCTATTTATTTTGCATTTTTTGTTTATGCGGCTCTTTTTGTTTTGTATTTATAACTCTGTGGAACCCAGTTCAGCTACTGATTGATTGATTGTTTATTGCTTTCATTTTATGGATCAATCGTCTTGTTAGATAGTAAAATCCATGTTGAATTGCTGTTTTAGGGGTCGTGTTTAAAAGCGTGGAACAGATTAATCTGTTTTGCATTACTTTGGTTTTGGAACGGACTGCCGGAACAGATTAAGTTTGAGAACCAAGGTACCACTGTAGTCCTATATGACCAGTGGCTCAGCATAGGTAAAGGTAAAGGGACCCCTGACCATTAGGTCCAATCGTGGCCGACTCTGGGGTTGCGGCGCTCATCTCACTTTATTGGCCGAGGGAGCCAGCGTACAGCTTCCAGGTCATGTGGACAGCATGACTTAGTCGCTTCTGGTGAACCAGAGCAGTGCACGGAAACGCCATTTACCTTCCCGCCAGAGCGGTACCTATTTATCTACTTCACTTTGACATGCTTTCAAACTTCTAGGTTGGCAGGAGCAGGGACCAAGCAACAGGCGCTCACCCCGTCGCTTGGATTCAAACCGCCAACCTTCTGATCAGCAAGTCCTAGGCTCTGTGGTTTAACCCACAGCGCCACCCATGTCCCTTCATGGCTCAGCATAAGTACTATCAATTAAAATATTCACGCCATCAGCCACTTTAAATCATGAAAAGCACATAGTTGAAAAGATCCTGTCTATCTTTGGACACCCTCAGAGCAACCATTGTCTAAAGTTTTAGATAAAAATCCCAGAACATATAGATCAGGGGTCAGCAAACTTTTTCAGCAGGGGGCCAGTCCACTGTCACTCAGACCTTGTGGGGGGCCGGACTATATTTTGGGAAAAAAAGAACGAATTCCTATGCCCCACAAATAACCCAGAGATGCATTTTAAATACAAGCACACATTCTACTCATGTAAAAATACCAGGCAGGCCCCACAAATAACCCAGAGATGCATTTTAAATAAAATGACACATTCTACTCCTATAAAAACATGCTGATTCCCGGACTGTCTGCAGGCCAGATTTAGATGGCGATTGGGCCAGATCCAGCCCCTGGGCCTTAGTTTGCCTTCCCATGATATAGATGCTACTGTCTATTGTTAAACATAGCACTTCATTAAATCTTCTTCTGTACTCTCTTGCCCCCCACCCAGATATTCTGTTTTTTTATCAGTGTCTATGTTTCTTCATTCCTCTCTTGTCTTTTTCAAACATTGATCCCAAACGGTCTTTCACACTTGCATTTCATTCGCAATTCTCTAGCTAGTCCTCTTGGCCATATAAAATGGAACAATTAATTTATTACCGCTTCAAACACAGTTGTTTTATTCATCATCTGTCTTAAAGGCAACTCAGATATATCCCCAGGGGATGTAATATCTCCATTACTGATGCCAGGAGAGAAGAGAACTCTGAATATTGGAGAGAAGCTGGATGGAAGGGTATTGCTAAAAGTATATTTATTTGGTAGTTATGAAATGGTTGGAAGAGACCATAACATGCTCCAGCAAGTAATACCCACAATGTGAATGCGGGAGAGGGAGTTGTCCACAAAGAAAATAGCAATTTTCTGATAAATGAAAGATAGCCATCTCAAATTCCTTGTTTATGAACTCCTTCAAAATAAGATAGTAAGAAGGGCTGGAGCTTCTCCCAGTCTCCAGACTCCCTTAGTTTGACCTCTGCTGGATATAAATACCCCACCTCTGTTTTCCATGGCTAGGAGCCTTCTTAAATCATTCTCTACTAGATTTCGCCCAAGTTTTTGGACCTCCAGATCACCTGGTCTTATTTCTGATGTTGACCTGAAGCATTATGTCTCTTCTGTTGTTCCATAGTTTAGTCATGCTGGCCAGATGATCCGGAAAGCTGTCTGTGGACAAACACCAGCTCCCTCAGCCTGAAAGCAAGATGAGTGCCGCAACCCCAGAGTCGCCTTTGACTGGACTTAACTGTCCAGGGGTCCTTTACCTTTACCTTTACCGCGGATGCACAATTTGCTGTAGTTCCTTCAGTTTTGGGGGGATTTTCTTCTTTGCACCCTGCCTCATGCCTCATCTCCATATATTGAAAGAACACATGACTCGTGGCCTCAGGGCTGTGTGGGTTAGCCTCAACCTGGTAAGTGACATGGTAATTTATTTCGCGCCAGTTGCACATAGCAGAAATGCTTCTCCATTGCCTCCATGTTTGGTGAAGCACTAGTTTGGGTCTTTCCATAGCTGCAAGTGGGAGGATAGCAAGGTTGAATATCTCAGTTGAAGGATGGTCATCTCTCTCTGCTCTCACTCAGGTTGATTCAAAGACTCTTATGGCCCATGGGACACATGTTCTTTTATATATATATATATATATATATATATATATATATATATTAGATATTTCAACATAACAATTTATCAAAAACATGTCATCTTCATTTCCCCCTATTTCCCCCCCCTTCCAAAAAAAGGAAAAAGAAAAAGACCCACCCCCCAGACTTCCCTCAGCTCTCTCTCTGTTTTCTCAGCACATGTTGTTCTCTGCTTATTATGAGATTGTAAAGATCCTTAATTTATCTATCTATATGTTACCAATAATAAATTTGTGTATGTTTATTCAAAACCTGCCAAGGAGTCCAGTTGATTTTGTTGTTTCTTTAGGTACTTTGTAAAATGTTCCCATTCTTCTTTAAAGTCACAGTTGTCCTTATCATGCAATTTGTTTGTCAATTTTGCCAGTTCCACATAGTCCATCAATTTCTCTTGCCACAGTTCTTTGGTCTGGATTTCTTCGTTCTTCCATCTTTGTGCTATTAAGACTCTTGCCGCCGTTGTTGCATACTTGAAAATATTCTTCAGCTTCCTTGGCAGGTCTTTTCCTACAATTCCTAACAAGAATGCTTCAGGCTTTTTTTACAAATGTTAATTGGAACATTTTCTTCAACTCATTGTATATCATTTCCCAGATTTTTTTTAATTTTACTACAATCCCACCACATGTGGTAAAAAGTCCCTTCTTTTTCCTTACCCTAGGACACATTTTCAAGGATCTTAGGATCGACCCTGACAAAATCATTAAAATAATTCCGGCCAGTGAACAGGCTTGGCTTCCAGTGTGATGCATCCTCCTGTTAACTGGACGTCAAATAGACTGGGAGATCCCACGTGACCAGAGGATATCTGAGGAGCACTGTGTCTCTGGGTGCTCTGTGAAGCACCCACCCAAGTGCCTCCATCTTCCCAGGGTTCCAGCTCAATTCATTGGCCCTCATGTGGTCCACAACTGTGCCCAGACAATGGACCAGATCATGCATGTCCTCACTTGGCTACAGCTGTGTGTCATCAGCATACTGATGACATTTTGCCCCCAAATTCCTAATAATC